AGGTAACAGGAACAGGTAAAATGCTTATCATAATTAACTTGAAGAAAAAATAATGACATAATCACGATGTTGACTTTACACAGTATTTCAAATAAAATGTAAAAGAGGAAACCACCACTAATTTTGGGAAAAGAGGAAAAAGCTACCCTACGTGAAAAGCCAATGTTCCTGAAAAATTGTTTCAATCTTTAGCACTCTGCATCATTTATATTACTCGCATTTTCATTGTATTATTTTTCAAGACCTCTTCAGAGATCAGAGTTACCTTCAGTGGCAGGATAAACATTTTGTACAGCATATGAAGTCACATACGGAGTGACAAATGTTAAGAGAAAGATTTTATAAATTTCAACGGACGTTAGTACAAGTTGCTCGGTCAATGAATGCTGAATGTCTCCTTATAAGGAAAGGGCTAATATTAACATTACAATTACCAGCAGCAAATCGAAATTTATATACCGACTTATTATAAAGAAATATTTCGTTGACTGAATAGCTCGTTCTGAATATGTCTATATTTCTGAGATAAGGTATTATGTACATTATTTACATTATTCGGACTATTGTCCTCATCTTTGTCGCCATATTTATTACAACATTTCGGCTGTTGAAAGCTCCGGCCTTCTTCAGGACGGTAAATGTTGATTAATACTGCTTATTTTGATCAGAGCATTTACTTAAATATTTGTATCTATAAAAAGAAATGTATAAACATAAAAATGTCTTAAAATAATTGTCGTACTTTATCCATTTCATAATATATATTATTCATATGTTCGGTATATAGGATGCCAGCTGATTCGGCATTTTGGAGTAAAAAGTGCGTCTCATACGTAATTGAATAGATTTAATAACGATGAACCAAAAGAAAAAAAAGAGGAAAAATGAAAATTGTAAAAAGACAGTATGTATCATTTTCAATAAGAAGACCAGCCTAAGATGTAAATTTTATATTGGAAATGTAAAATCAAAAGCAGGACGAAAATACATCCTTTGAAGGGTTATGTTAAGTGACATAAAAATCTGGTTGAGGACTTTGAAGGCGTATTTAAATTGCGAAAACGTCTTCCAGAAAATAAACAAAATATATGGAAAAAGTTCGTTGGAGACAAAGATACGAGTGCTCAAATATTATGTGGTATCGATCGTCTGATATGGCAGTGAGTGCTGGTTAATTTCTACTCCGATGAAGAGTCAATGTAACGTAAGAGGAATGTGGTTCCAGAAAGGAAATCGTAAAGATTAACAAACGGAAACATGTGAGCAAAGAGGAAGTTTCAAGAAAAAATGGGAATAAAACAGTCTTTTGCTTAAAATAAAAAAAAGAGACACATAATGGGGAAAGGAGAAATGGAGAATATGACACCTACAGGACTTGAATTGAACGGAAAATGGGCAGAGTAATATAGCGAATAAGCTTGTATACATAATTGACAGAAAAATGTGGGATAACAAGGGGAAAACATTTATTGTGTTACAAGTCATAGAGAGTTATTACCGTCCATGTCTTGAATGAGCTCGGTATATAAAATTAATGTTTAATCTGACATATTTCAAGCAGATTAGATTCAATACCAAAGTGTATCTTCGAGTGAAGTATTTCTGATTAGAAAATCTTCTGAAGCCCTTGCGATATTCAACAAATCGGATTCATATCTCACTAATTTCAGTATAATACATTTAATTCTCAATTAGCGCCATTATTAAAACCTTGTGCTGGCCAAAGCTAAACGTAGTGAATACTTTGGGCGCTTCACCATGTAATAATTGTCAGTAAGCAAACTCATATTCCTCTGTAATGAATTCAAAACCATTGGGCGGTCAACACTTGTCTCCTTGTACCCGACTAAGTCAATCTAAACCCATATCAGGATTAAGTTATGCAGAAAACACCAATTCTTATTTCATCACCAATTATATTCAGCGTAGATCCTGTATGTTACTGAGATTCATAACCGCTTAGGTCTATCTTTTGTAAGCAAATTGTAGCGTCATAGCATTATATGTAAAACTTCGTGAAGAAGACACCTACCATAGTCTGATGATTAGTAAACACGTCTTGGGGACTATTTCTCTAGCGTAGTGATCATCCTCTAGATATGGTTTAAATAGTAGAATAAAGTCGGTTTTCTAGTCTTGCATGTTAACCAGACGAGAACAACACAATTCAAAATTTTAAATAAGGGAACGGACAAATATCCTCACTGTATTTCATGAGAGAAATCAGAAATCAAAGGAATATATATATATATATATATATATATATATATATATATATATATATATATATATATATACGCGTGCACATACACACACACACACACAACACAAACAAACACACACACACATGGTTTAAACTTTTGAGGCCACCGCTGGTAAGTTTGTAAATTTTTAATTTGTTTGGTACTATTAATAATTGCAAATTATTATATATTAAAAAAAATAAGACAATTTTATTAGAAATTTTATTATGACACAAAGAATAAAAACATTTTTGATCAAAGTTTAATCTCGTCAAATAATCCTCCTTTAGCCTTGATTAGTGCACCACAAATTTTGGCATTCATTGCAGAAGTCTCTCAAAGTGTAAGTTTGATAACTGATTCAATTCTTTTTTCAATGACCCTAAGTGCACTTTTTCATTTTTTTTCATTCTTCTGTCAAATTTATAACTATGCTAATTCTGGGATGGCTTCAAACTTTTGAACTTTTAGTATATATATATATATATATATATATATATATATATATATATATATAAAATTATTTTTAATAAAAAAAATTATAACATAAGTATATTTTAAAATCACTACTAAAAATAGCCATTTTGTTTCAAACACTCTGTGTCTTATCAAGTGATGATGTTGAAAATAAAAAAAAACTTTGTTTTTTTTTTTTTTTCAACATCATCACTTGATAAGACAGAGAGTGTGTTGAAACAAAAAATATATTTTGTAGTGATTTTATAATATACTTATGTTATAATTTTTTTTATAAAAATAATTATATCTGCTCTACTTTGTATTGAGCACTCTTTTTAAGAATAGTAATTGTTGGTTATTGGAATTCATTCCGTATATACCAATTATATACTTGTATATATATATATATATATATATATATATATATATATATATATATACACACACACACACAAAACACACATTCTCACACACATTCTCACACACATATATATATATATATATATATATATATATATATATATATATATATATATATATATATATATATATATATAATTATGACCGATTATATCCTGTAATATCATGTAATTAAAAAGGGGCACTCAAAAGCATTTAATATTCCACAGGGGATTTCTACTATGAATAAGTAATCTCGATTTGCTGACCGATTCCGTATGAATTTACTTTATACGCTTAGCTCAAAGGTGAACTATCTTTGCTGTCTTGTGCCATACTTATCTATACTTGGTAAATATTTATCAGCAGAATATACGGAAGAAGGATAAGGAGAGAGGTTTGGGGAGATATTTTGATTATCATTTTGTTTTCTATTTCATTTTATTCATCTTTTTTTTCAATAATTTTTCGTTGATTTTGTCGTGGTTTTCTTTTATTTCATTTGATTTTTGCATTACTTCACAGGGAAAAATGATTGAAGAGAATTACATCACTGATTTATGTGGAAAACTCATAAACATAACGCATATGTAAAAACTACCAAAACATTTATAAATATGTTTTTTTTTCTTTGTTGCCTTTGAAACTCAGTGATGCATATGGAGCGAGAAAAAACAACAACAATTTTGTCTTTTCACATTTATTTGATTCTCATGTTCATATTTCTACTATTTTACATGTTCACCATATAATCAAATTACAGGTTAGACTTGCTGGCTGAAATAATTGTGCATTTTTGGTGAGTTTTAGCGTTCAGTACTGGAACCGATTTAAAACACTTATATTTGTAATACTTATTAATAATAAAGGTAAGTTGATCTTGAAAATCTGACGCAGCACAATTTCTTCGCTTATCATCCACGTAGCCCTCTGCCAGTCATTGCAAACTCTATAATAATGAAAATTCCAAGAGCAGAACAACTTTTCCGAGCGTAGTTTCCATATATTTCGCACTCGGGCTCGTAAAGAAATCTAGATTATTATATAAGAAATATTAAAATAAAAGTTATTTGTTCGCAGATATTATTTAAGATCTATCTATATTTCTGAGATAATGTATTGTTACTATTTACACTATTTCAATAATTCGGACTGTTGTCTTCATATTTATTGCCAGATTTACGACGTTTTGGCTGTTGTACACTCCGGCATTCTTTGGATGATTTACGTTAGAAATTCAAACGTATATCACCTGAAAAAGGCTCTAGGCAATAAAGATGAGTACAACATTCCGGATCATGTTAATCGTGTAAATAGATATTTTTTATTCATAAATATTTATTTTTAATTGGATTAACTTTTAATTAAAAATAAAATAATTAATCATTTCCAAGTTTCAAGGTATGTAATATTTACGATTTTTAAGTTGTCCTGATGATCCTTTTATTGAACGAAACGTTGACAACAGAAAAATAATTTAAACACCCAACTTGTTTCCACAAATTCTATTTCATATACTTTGTTAGGATATGTTATATTATTTATTGTTATTATTATTGTATTGATGCGGCATTCACCCTGGGCGGATTGAGCCGGCTTCTTCCTGTTATGAGAAGAAGATTCTTGGGATAAATTACAGAAGTAGGGTACCCAGGCCTACTCGGATAACGTTCTTGCTTGCCGCGGTGTTCCCACAGACGCAGAGACAGGAACGACCAGAAGCCGCCGGTTACCGATGCAGACGCTCCTGGATTTTCACCAGAGCCTTTGTTAGCCGGCGTGTGTGTCAGACCTGTCCGCCTTGGTGGCCCTACCAGGAACGAAGTTCCGGACGGCATAACTCTGACACTACCGTTTACCCCCCCCCACCGACTGTGAGGTAAGGGTTGGACTTTGGGGCTTACAGTACCAGGTGTTCCCAAGCGGTCCCCCATCTACGTAGTGACCTGGCTCTACGATGCTTAACTTCGGTGATCGAACGAGAACCGGTGTTTTCAGCGTGATTTGACCGTAAGCACCTTTTGACCGTAAGCACCTTTTGACCGTAAGCACCGATATGTTATATTAGTCATTTATCATATTCCTTTAGGACGTGAGTGGTCAAATCTCTCCACACCTTTCTGTCCTTTGCAGCTCTTATCAATTTTTGTCGTTTTGCCATCCTGTTCATTCTGTTCTGCCAAATATTTACATAATCTACTTAAATAGGTTATTCTTTGCTGCCATCTGCTTCACTTGCTATCAATTTGTCCTGTAAGTGTCAAATTTTCCAAGCACCTTTTCCTTATTGAACCTTAGACATTTCATCTGTCTCTTTCTGATTCTAATTTAAAGTGTTGTTTTTGTTTCTTCTTTCATTAAAACTTCCTCGTTAACCACATGCCATAATCCATGGTATTCGCAGCATCCTTTTTATGAGCCGAGGTTGAATTCCAACCTGATTCGTTACATTAACTTTCGCGCAAATAACCTTGGGAAATGTATGACTATATCCCATTACGCAGATATGGTTTAAATAGTAGGACTTGTATCTATAAAATATTGTTATTATCAAGAAATGTTAATCTTTTATCCTCAAGCGAGAAAGAAATAATCTTACAATCCAAAATACAGGGGACAACAGCAAAATTGTCCATTTGTTAGATTAAGATTTGAACAATTTTATCTAAGAAATGATTAAATATATCTTACTAGAATTCTCCGAGGTTTTTATAACACTATTGGACTCTACTTTGAAAAATAAGAATGTATAATTACTTTTCAAGCTTAACAGAATAATCTTGATGAAATCGATCATAAACGAAAATAATATGTTCATCATTAATTAATCATAGCTAAGGATCGGAAGCTCGTGAATAATTTGAATTATGTTTATATATATATATATATATATATATATATATATATATATATATATATATATATATATTTCCAGTATCATTTGTTTTCTAACTTATTCACATTCGATATTCTCTAACCTAATTTTCTGTCCTGGAGTAACAAGTTGCTTCACAGGTTTCACGTACAATTTCATTTACAAGTCTTTTTTTCACTGCTCTTTCGATTATCATAGTTGAAAGTACTCTCTCACGGGTCAAACGTCATATGAATTGAGTTGGATATTTTCTAAATGATCATTTTAGCTCTAAGTTGAAATGGTGATCCCTCTTCCTGTTGTGATTTCCTGATCCATTTTTCTCTTTACAGTTACTTTTTTTAAGACTTATTCACCGATCTCTTGACGTGTATTGAATGAACTTTAAAGATGGATGCCAGAGTATGAATATCGGTACCATTATTGAAAGCCTAAATGATCTTTTTGCCTCTCACTATTGCTCAGTTGGGAAAATATAGTGGTGTTGACATAAAACGATTTTAACCTGTTTTTTTTCTAGCTGAATAACTGAAAGGGTTTTTTCAGTGTTTCTTACGATAAATGATGTCAAGATGGCTAAACGTCTTATCTGATTACATGTTAAAAAAGAAATCAGTTAATTTAGTGTTTATCAGATATTAAACTTTATATTGGATGGACAATTATCGCATGCTTTTACACAATTTGGACAAATATGCTATTACACTCGGTAAGTTTCGACTTTAAATATCCCACGAATGGGTGATGAGCCATAAAATCTAATTCAGTCAATATGTAATTCGCATCTCGGCCTGTTCCTTTGACATCTATACATTCTGCATTTTTGCAATTGCAGTTTTGTCCTATCTTCTCACTTTCATTTAGAATATTCTCTTGGGGTTCCTGCAATTTAACTTTCTATATCTGTTATCAACCCTGTTTCACCTGTTTATTTCATGTAATTTAGATTCTGTCCAGCAATAATAAATCCTGGTAGGACTACTAAATCTTTAAGGATTATTTCAATACATCGGCTGAATAATCTCGGTGGAAATATATATATATCCTTCCTGTAGACCGCTTTCTATTTCTGTGTATTTACTGAATTCATTGTCTATGTAAATGAAAATAGTTTTCTTCCATTAGTAAATGCTACTTACGTTTAGTTCTGCTTTATTTTATAAAATGAGTTTAAATTATGTTATACACTTTGCTGTTATTTGTGTATATTTCTGAAATGAGGTATTATGTAGACTATTTACATTATTCGGACTATTGTCCCCATCTTTGTCGCCATATTTATTACAACGTCTCGGTCGTTGTACGTTCCGGCCTTCTTCTGGTGGTTGGAATGTCGAACTGAACTCTTTATTTCGCTCACTGGGTAGACTGTTCTAGTTCCTTGTGCCATGCCAGTTATCAGCTATCTCCTGTTAATTCCCCGCGCCAAAGTCTCCACCGCCTTAACCAGGTATTGAACTCACACTCGTTGCGTCCTGTCACTGGATCTAACTAACGCCTTTATGCCACATGTGTCCTAAAGGGTTCAGTTCGACATTCCAAACCCGTGAAGAAGGCCGGAGCGTACAACGGCCGAAACGCTGTAATAAATATGGTGGCCCAGATGAAGACAATAGTCCGAATGATGTAAATAATGTACTTTGCTGCTACTTTGGATATTTGAAGTTTGATATAATGCCATTTCTATTTATTTTAGAGTTACTATTAATATGAGACGACTGTTTTACTTCGGCTTTTTTGTCGGATTATATTATTATTAATTGTTTTTAGGTTACCATTTTCAGAATCATGTGACATGATCTTCAAAACGTATGCGATCTTTTCTCCCCTAAGTCTCTTTTTATATTCTGTGAATTGCCATGAGTTGGGGAATGATAGTGGAATGGTTTCCTTTTGCTTTCTCACCAGTTATTAATTCAGAGTATTCATTCGCCTATTCTGGCTGCCATCCAAGATGAGAGAGCACAAACCTTCCTGCTACTTAAGCCATAGCCGGGTGGCAAGAGAAGATATGTACTTATACCTTTGTTAAAGACATTAGTCGAAAAAAGAAAACTCAAGAGACGTGGCGGGAAATTGTATTCGATTCTCCTATCCAACTTCGAGGACCTGTAACTGTTACAACCGTATTTTTTATAAATCTATAATTAATAAAAGAGTTTCGATAAATACACAATTAATACCGATTCGTTATGTTGATTTTTGTTAGAAATCTGCAATTAATACTGGGCTTTTCTTCTAGTTTTTATAATATCGGCTTTCATGATGGACCTTAATGGGTTAAAATATTTATTAACTATAAAGAATGACGTTAATGTGCATGCTCTACAATGGCTTTGGTGCCCTGAGACAAATTTGTTTGCCATGGTCGTTATCTCTGCAAATCAAAGGGAAACTTAATAAAAGTCACATTTTCATCATTATTTCTCGAAAAACAAACAAACGTAGAACGGTTGTAAATGTGTTCCAGAGAAAATCTATAACATGACACAAGAAGCAGATAGAAGACGGACGCAATCAACACATTTAAACCCAGTATTTTGGAAATTCCAAATCAAGCGGATTCTTCTTTGAAGATTAATGCAGCGGATTCTCCCAATACCCTTCTTCCCGCGTCGGGTGAAGCTGTTGATGTGACCCTTTGAGAGATGTTAACTAAGGCTTAAACATAATTCCCAAACACAGAATCCAGCCGTGTTTGTGATACTGTAACTGCCAGCAATGATTATTTCTTGTTATAATAATATTCCTAATATCTAAAAAGATCTTTCAAGCATGACTGAAAGTGAATTTAATTTTGACCAAGAATCGTATTTGCTTTAGTTCTTGATAAAATAAAAAAAATAATTTGCAAATATTTCGACTCGGTTTGCTTATAGATTTGGGGGTGACTTTATGTATGATTTGTTTTTGTCTAAAATTTTGTCTATCATTTTGAACATTATTCCTGCCATAATAAAAAAAAAAAAATAAAGATATCACAGTAAAGTATGAAAAATATTGCGGGGATTCAATGTTATTTATTGAATACAGAATATATAACGATAATTATCCCGTCTAAGATTGATACACATTTATTTGGCAAAGTTAGATAGCCATGGAGCACTGGTTTGGCTATATGTTCACTAACATAGTCCGTCAACCATGAAAGCTTTGTCAAAAATTGCATGTTGGGTCAAATGACATGGAGAAATAGAATTTATTTTTTCCAAAGCAAAGTGGATATACGCAGTGCCAACCGAATTTCGAAATCTATTTTCCTTTATTATGTCTGTGAGAAAAAAAAAGTGATCGCCCACATTAATCGCAAAAAATATCCGCGCGCCGAATGAATAACGTGTTAGAATAAATTACTGAGTGTGAGTGAGACAAAAACAAATATCTTGTTTGTTCTTCTCTACAGAGATTTAAAAGGACTGATCAGACAGAAAAAAAGAATAATGTTATTTGATTAAAATCATGCTTCTATACTTCGTACGAGTCGTCAACTGTGTTCTGATGAATACTAGAAATTGATTATTTGAAATCTTCTCTTTGTATAGGGCTGTTTTATATGCTGGCAACCGTTTTGTTATCTACGATAAATGAGATCTTCTTCTATGTGCCGTACCCTTTCAGAACGTTAGCGATCATGGCTCTCCACAACAACCTATAGACTTTTATAGCGCTTAATAAATGTTGAAAATATCTCCCAAACCTTGCTCCACAATATATTCACTGAAACTCTCCAAGGAGGTTATGCGTTGTTTTTCTTTGTTCTTATTGTCATTAATCTCTCTTGTGAGTATCTAAATTTCCAAGCATTCTTTTCTCATTATATGTCCTAGAAATTTATACTGTTTCTTCCAGATGTTGAGTATACATGTTCTGTTTATTTCCATTATTTGTAGAACTTTGTCGTTCCTCATATTATCGGTCCATGGTGTTCTCAGCATTCTTCTGTAGAACAACATTTCAGTTGCTTCAAATCTGTATTTCATCTCTGAGGAGATTGTCTAGCAATCACTGTCATATAGGAAAACTGATATTAGGTAACCATTCAATACTCTTTTCTTTATAACCATTTTTATCTGGTTTCTTCATACTTTGATTAGCTGTTGAAAGGCATCTTAGGATTTCTATGTTGAAATTTCCACCTT